GTTAAGTCAACAGCAGGAGTCACTGTGTACTTACTTCTCATGTGGGATCAATCCTTAATGTGTTGTCCAATGTGAAGTAACGCTATAACTAGTACTGAAACACTATTTTACACTTTGTGTTTCTGTGTGGGTGCAAACTGATGAAATCTTTACTTAATATATACTAAATCAATCTTCTGTATATAAAAATAATTGAAAATGAATCTTGATGTGAATGGAATGGGAGAGGAAGTGGGAGCTGGAAGGGGTGTGAGTCGGAGGGAAATTATGGGTGGGTGGGAAAGCCATTGAATCCATAAACTGTACTTTGGAAATTTATATTTACTAAATAAAAAAAAATGGGCAAAAAAATGAAATCCTGTATTTTGCAATAAAATGGATGGAACTGGAAACCATTATGCTCAGTGAAATAAGCTAAACCCAAAAAGACACATATCCTATATCTTTCCTGATTTGTAATAAGTAGTATACAGAGTACAACAAAATAAATGTATATGAATAAAATTGACATTTCAAGAACAGATTACTGCTTGACAGGCCTTGTTTATATTCTTGAGGAACAGCATTTTTTTTGTCTGTTTTCTACTTACTATTTGTTGAATTTTTACTTAGTGGGCATTTAAACTTATAATATATACTGAAAGTATGCTATTCTAAAAATTAAAAGGCAAATAAGAAAGGATGGATGGAAGTAAGTCGGGACTATGGGTAGAAGAGAAGGTAAGGTGAGAAGTATAACTGTTCCTAAGTCTGTATATATGAAACACATGAAATTTGTCCACCTTATAAAAAATTAAAAATGGGAATAATTGAATTTTGAATAGCATGAAAAGGAATGAAGTACTTAGAAAAAAACTTAGCCAAGGAAATAAAATATCTCAATACTGAAAACTATAAAGTATTATTGAAAGGAATTAATTAACATACAAATAAATGGAAATATATACTGTATTCACTGATTATAAAATATGTGTAACAAGTCAATATGATCCTACATGACTTATAGATTGAAATGACTATAAGACCTCAATAGTTATTTCTTGCAGAAAATAAAATAAAATAGAATATACAGAAAACTCTATGGCATGTCGAAGATCCAAATACCCAAAATATTATTAAAAATAAAATCAGAGTTGGAGGTCTCACATTCTCTTAATTCAAAAGCAAAAGTAATCAAAAGGTGGTACTAGCATAAAAACAGATACACTTGGGAGTCCTGAGAAGCTCCAAGCTCATGGTTCCTGGCTTCAACCTGGCCCAGCCCTAGCCATTGAGGCCGTATGTGGAGTGAACCAGTACAAAGGATATCTCTCTCTCTCTTTCTGTCTCCCTCTCTCTCTGTTGTGTGTGTGTGTGTGTGTGTGTCTACCCCTCTTTCTGTAACTCCATCTTTCAAATAAAGTCTTTAAAGTCTTTAAAATGTCTTATTTTAATGAACAAATTGAAGTGTTTTTATATAAAAAAATCTTGTAAGTAAAACATATCCTGAGGAATTCACTAAAAACCCAAAGTAAAATTCACAATGTTATAGAATATAAAATAGATACAAGTATCCATTACATTTCTGTTTAGTAGTAATGAATATTCTGAAAATATAATTAACATTAACATTCAAGGTAGCATCAAAGTCAAAATGCACTAAGAAGTTTAAGAAATAAAAACCTTAGATTCTGTACTGGAAAAATTAAAAAATATCAGAATAAGCATAAAATTTTTAACAGCAAGCAATTATTTCAACAAGGCATTTAATATTCAAAAAATGCAAACAAAACCTAAAAAAATCACTTAATATTCAGTAAAATGATTGTGATTCAGCTGTGGATAAATGCTGACACAGATAAATGGAGAACATGGAACCCTCATACACTTTTAGGACCATAGTGCAGCCACTGTGAAAAATAATTTGCAGTTTCTTAGTGTGTTCTACATGGACTACTTATTACCTCAGCAGTTTCTCTCCCAGATATGCCAAAAGATAAAAAATCAACATGCACACATATGCTCACTGCAGCAATGTTTATGAAAACCAAATGCGAAAGCAACTCAAATGCTGATATGTAAGAATAACAGTGTGTAGTATATATTTTCTAGTAGTACACTTTTTGGCAATCAGAATGACAGACTACAAAAATAAAAACTCAAAAACAAGAAATTAGAAACAAAACCTCACATACTATAACACTGTATGATTCCATTATATGATATGTCCAGAAAAAGCAAATCTCTGGAGACAGAGTTTAGATTAATGCCTGTCTGGGACAGGCATTAATTAATGGTGAACGAGGCTTTCCTGTAAGCAATATGAAGAATTTTGAGATTAATGGAAACATGTTAATATTAGACTATGTTTACGATTATGTAGCTCCCAATGCAGTACAAAGCATGAAACATTCACTTCAATCAAAGGACAGTTAGGACTGGGCAGACAGGCTCCTGAGTTTGGGCTTCACAGAAGAAACTGAATACCAATGGATATGAGAGGGTTTCACATTTTTATGGAACATGAAATTAAATATACTCATTTTGGTTCAAAAATATTTTTTTTGACAGGCAGAGTGGACAGTGAGAGACAGAGAGACAGAGAGAAAGGTCTTCCTTTTGCCGTTGGTTCACCCTCCAATGGCCGCCGCGGCCGGTGCGCTGCTGCTGGCGCACCGCGCTGATCCGATGGCAGGAGCCAGGAGCCAGGTGCTTTTCCTGGTCTCCCATGGGGTGCAGGGCCCAAGCACCTGGGCCATCCTCCACTGCACTCCCTGGCCACAGCAGAGGGCTGGCCTGGAAGAGGGGCAACCGGGACAGAATCCGGCGCCCCGACCAGGACTAGAACCCGGTGTGCTGGCGCTGCAAGGCGGAGGATTAGCCTAGTGAGCCACAGCGCCAGCCTCAAAAATATTTAAAATCATAAATATGAGGAGCCTTGCAATTCATGGACAATGATAAGCATGAAATACTATGCACGTTTCAAGAATTTTTTCAACAAAATTAATCTACCATTTCATTCCCTACTTCTTGTGTGATACTGTTCTAATTCAAATTAATAACATATGCACTTAAAGAATCACTTCATTTTGCTTACGTGAAACAGTTTAAAACATGTATTAAGTACCAATATAACATAAAGTACCACCTCCTAATTTCTCCACTTTTCCTGGGAAAACACCAATTCAGTTATTTTCAGATTATGTTTCTCTTTATAAAATACTTCCAAAGATCTTAATTGTAGCTGTGATTCTAATTTAAATAGTTGGATATCCCTTAACATTATATACCCAGTAAGATGTGGATCTGAGTTTATATTTTGTTGACAACAATTATTCATATCTACGGTTACAGTGTGAAATTTTAATCCATGTATACAATGTGTAATGATCAAATCAGGATACATTTTCCCTTCTCTGACATTATAGCTCATAATCAGAGCCTTGGAATATCTTTTTTTAATTTGTTCATAAAATAAGGAGTGCATTACTCTGAACGATAGTCACCCCACTGTTCTATGTAACACTAGGACCTTACTCTTATCATCTAACTCTGATTTGGTACCAAGTACTCCAAATAGTTTTTACAAGTTTCTTAATTAGTTTGAAAGAAAAAAACACAAACACACATACACACAAACAGATAGGGAAAGAGAATATTCACTTCACAAATGCCTAAAACAGCTGTGTTAGTATCAAGCCTCAATAATGATTCAGATATGACACAAAATGCACAGGTGACAAAAGGAAGGAAAACTGCAAAAAACTAAAAGACAACAAAAATTCTGCATTCTAAAAGGAAAACTAAAAAGAGAAAACAGAAAATGGGAGAAAATATTGGCAGACCTAGTATGATTAAGGGAGTAATACAAAGAAATACACAACACATAACTGTAATTAAAAATAGACAAAGGATCAGACCAGTTTTTCCAATCAGGATATGAAAGCAGCCAACAGATATTTTAAAAGGGGCTGTGCACTGCTAACCAAGACCATGATGCTATCACCTTACATATGTAGAAATGGCTATTGTCAAAAATTAGATGACAAGTATTGGACCAGATGAAGAGAAAAAGAAACATAAATTGTTTGAGGGAATGTAAATTGCTACATCTACTATGAAAAACACTATGGAGGTGCCCCAAACAAAATTAAAATAGAACACATGAATTTCTATAAACTTTTAGAAGTTCCCTCACATTTCAAAACATCAGGTGGCAGGCCTTGACTATATACAAATTTTGTTTGCCAATTATATTTCAATAACCTTGAAAAAATCACTCTATACCAAAATAAAAGTGAAAACTAACTTAGGAATCTAGACTTATATCTTTGGGGTTGGGAAGGTTGTCATGGAACAGAAACAGTCTTTAAAACACCCATGAATGTGAGTAGCTAAAATTTATATTTTGGGAACGTGTAATGGGTTAGATGACACCCAAGTACCAAATTACAGTGTCCTCCTGCCCCCCTAAAACCTGGACCAAATCCCTGAGAGAAATAAAACTGCTCTGTTGTTAACAGTGTCAATGACACTGTTATTTCCGATAGAAAATGAGGTCAGGCCCGCAGAAGAGCTCTACTGAGGTCACTAAGCATAAGACTTAGACTAAGTGAACCAAGACTCCCACATATTCAGAAAACTTGGAGATTCATGTTACCCCTGGGAAAAAAGAGGAAGCAAGGACCCCTTGAACGACAGCTCCTCGCTGCCTGAACCCTCCACACAGCCCATATTCCCCAGAATGACCTTCCTGTCCCCACTGCATCAACGGGGAAGGCAGGGGCTGCCGCCAGCAGCTGCCCAGAGATGGCCCTGGGCTGTGAGCAGGAAAGGGACAGGACACCCGGAGTCCCCACACTGCGGACCAGAGGGGGCCGAGGGAAGGGCCAGGCCAGCAGCGAGATGGGGCCTACGGACTAGAGAGATGACCTCTGTGAGGCCAGCATCCTGCCAGCCTTTTCCAACAGTTTCCAGGAACTCCGCCTCCCCCTCTCCTCAAGCCCGGGCCCCACACTCACCATTTCCCAGTGTCCGAGGTGGGCGGCGTCCTTCAATGTAAGGTCAGAGAACCGCGGACAGAGACCAGCAAGGCCGGCTGCCTTTGCAGATCCCCAGCAACGGGGCCCAGTCCTAGACCTTGTCTCCTCCCGGTAACCGAAGACTACTATGACGTCAACATCCCGTGGGATTTCGCAGCTTTCAGCCACCACTTTTGATTGGACAGCTTGCATTGTGGTGTGCAGGCACGAAGTCTAAAAGACGCAGCCAATCAGCATCCTCTGTAGCGGGACACAGGAGTTCTGGTCGTGACAGATGGGAAAAATAAGAGGGAGTCCGGTTGATTTCCACAACTGTGTCTTCGGCTCCAGCCTCGCTGTGGCAGGAGGGATTTTCTCCTCCCTGGTCCTGTCAACTGCTGGCCTCCCTCCCGCCTCCCGGTCCGTCTTCCTTAGAAGATCCTACTTGGGTGTTGCAGGAACTTCCTTCAGGTCAGTTACAATTTAATGGCTGTTTATTGGTTCAGAGCCATTCTTATTCATTCTATGTGTGCACTTCTTTTTATGTTGAGTCGTCTGTATTTTCATATTGATTTAAAGAATGTTTAAAGATACTGCATAATTTAATCCTTTTTCTCATTTCTCTTGCACGTTTTTTTCTAGTCTGCCTATTGTCCTTTAATACTATTTTCTATTTGTTTCTTGCTGGTACTTAGTAATTAGTAGAATATGAATATATATTATATATATATAATTGGTATTTCTAATAATGTATTTTATCAGTTGTATTTGTTTTTATGGATTACCTCTCTATATAAACATTATCCAATATATTCGCATTTTATGACTTAGAAATTGATGTTTACAACTTATAATTTCTTTGTGCTCTTTTATATCCTTACTACACCTCCAATAGAAAGACCATAAGGTCTAGCAGTCCTACTCCTGGGTGTATATATATCTAAAGAAAATTAAATAGGCAAACCTTCATTATATTCAAGAAATGAAAAGGAAACCAAAGTGTCTACCAAATGAGGACTGATCACTACCTCATCTCTTCCATGGTGATCAATGCCCAGGATGAGCCAACAGTAACTACGCATCCCTATCAAACAGGCATATGTACCACAAAATGGATCTGTGCGGTCCTCAGTGTGAGCACAGATACCTCTGCAATGACCTACCCCAGGCACACAGGGAACTCTGATTTTCTTAATCCAGACACAGTGATTGCTCAGGGATCCAGCTACACACCATGCCCTGTCATGCAGTCGCAGAATTTCCAGTCATAGCACACAGGGCTCCTGCTCTCACAGGGAACAGGGAAAACAGCAACTTCCTTAGATTACCGACAAACTTGAACTCTGATAAGAGACAGAGACGATTTTCATCTCTTTAAAGCTATTGTTATTTGGTCTCTGCTAAAGCAGCTAATTCAATATCTTACTTTATAAATTACAAATATGGATCATTATCACTGTGTATCACATGAAGTATGATAAATATAAAACTGTATCTAAAGTAATAAGAGAAAATTATTTCTCCCATTTCCCTCAACCATGAGCATAGTTCATCTATAGAGAAAGATTTGTGTTTTATAAAGTTTAATGTGAACTTCTCTACTATCACATCTAAATCCGAGTTTGTTTATGATAGGGTAGATTAGCACAGAAAGCATCCACTATCCTCTGAGATGAACACAACACATTACAGGTTACTGGTTTCTGGTCACAGGCCATTAAAAGGAAAATCAGGGTCTGGCACTGTGGTACGTAAGTTAATCCTCCACCTGTGGTACTGGCATCTTATATTGGTGCCAGTTCAAGTTCTGGCTGCTCCTCTTCCATCCAGCTCTCTGTTATGGCTTGGGAAATCAGTAGAAGATGGCACAAGTGCTTGGGCCCCTACTCCCATGTGGGAGACCTGGAAGAAGATCTTGGTTCTTGGCTTTGGATGGATCCAGCTCCAGCCATTATGACCATCTGGGGAGATAATCAGTGAATGGAAGACCTTTCTCTGTCTTTCCCTCTCACTGTCTGTAACTTTATCTCTAAATAAATAAAATCTTTTTTAAAAAGGAAAATCAACCATGAAATATTCAAATTCTGTATTTTCCCTGTCAGTCTTTAATGCTTTAATAACATTAATTTGGATGTTATTCTCTGATTGCAGAGCTTTTGGGATTGCTTGTTTTCATATAGATTGCAATGAAAATTTCTTAGAAGCAAAATAATCACTATTAAAAACTATTGACATCAGGATTTTAAAAACTTGCCATTAACCTTTATCATTTGGTGAGTATTTTTGAACTCTGATATACAAATTATCGCTTTAAGTGAAGATTTATGTGTGCATAGCCCATTTGACCAAATCTATTTTAGATCTAGCTTGCATATTTTACCACTATTAGCACCTTCAAGAAAAACATTGGGAGTGTGTTTAGTTCCACTTATCTTGTGTAGGAAACCACCGGGATGGTGAAGTATCTAATTAATTAGCTTTACTTTGCAGAATTCAAGTTTCCCTGTAAAAATGGTGGCTTTTGAAACATGAGATTATAAGGCAAGTAGCAAATCAGCATACACATTCTGAACAGAAAAAGGCCTTCAGAAAGAGCAGGAATATTCTCCTTTGTAATGTTGAAAAATCTACATGGCTGAAGACTAAAATGGTGAAATGTAAATACCAGATAGGAAAAGAAAACGTTCACTTCGTGTCACATTGAAGTCACTTTGTACAGTGGTGTTGTATTTCTCTCATGAAGACTTTATTTTTGGTTTTGATGTTTTTCCTTGAAGTATGAAGGATGAGGACTGTGCTTTGCTGATCCCAAATCCCCACACGTGCTTAGTAAAGAGTGGGTGCTTAAAATGGTTATTGAATAAATGTAAATAATATTTACATTCAAATTTTATGATTTATGATAAATGAAGTAAAAAAGTACTTACCCAATGAGAGATATGTATTACCATTAAGAGATTTTACCTTTATGATATGAAAAAGGAAGAAGATAACAACGTTAAATTAATTAACTATATGGAAAACTTCTTCATATTCTTTTGTTAATCTTGTAGACATATTTATCATGTCTGGAAATACTAAAATATTAATTCTTCAGAACTATGACTTTAGATGTAAGGCTATGTTATTGAATTAACATGATTTAGGCGGCCGGTGCTGCTCTGAGTCACCTGCGCCTGCACCTGTATCTGCACCTGTACCTTTCTTTCAGGAGGGCGGATGCAGACAGGAGGGCTGAAGGTTGCTCGGCTCGTCATGGCCTACCCAGGATACGAAGGAGGGTTTGGAAATTTTAGTAGTCAGATGCCAGGGATGCAGCCAATGCCAGGGGCAGGTCCAAACGTGTTCCTTGGTGGGTACCCCGGACCCCTGCCTTATTCAGACAGTTACTCTTCAGCTGGGGACCCCATGTGGAGTTACTTCACAGCTGTTGCTGGACAGGATGGTGAAGTGGATGCTGAAGAACTTCAGAGATGTTTGACAGAGTCTGGAATTAGTGGAACTTATTCTCCCTTCAGTTTGGAAACATGCAGAATTATGATTGCCATGTTGGATAGAGATTATACAGGAAAAATGGGATTTAATGAATTCAAGGAGCTTTGGGCAGCTCTTACTGCATGGAAGGAAAACTTCATAACTATTGATCGAGACCGAAGTGGCACAGTAGAGCATCACGAGTTGAGTCAATCCATTGCTATTATGGGTTATAGGTTGAGTCCTCAGACGTTAAATACTATTGTTAGACGCTACAGTAAGAATGGCAGAATTTTCTTTGATGATTATGTTGCTTGTTGTGTGAAGCTTCATGCCTTGACAGATTTCTTTAGGAGAAGAGACCACTTGCAACAAGGATTTGTGAATTTCGTGTATGATGATTTTTTGCAGGGCACTATGGCAATCTGAATATCTAAAATTTGAAAGTCAAAGAAATGCTGACTTCTTTTGCTTTGAAGAAATGAACTGGACTACTTTAAATGAAACTTTTAGGGTTTTTGGGGTTCCTATTATTAAATGTCTTCCTTTACTATGTATTTTTACTTTAGCATATGGTGCAAAGTAATAAAGAATTGGGGGGGAGGGCTGACTTGGCTCACTTGGTTAATCTAACTCTGCCTACGGTGCCGGCATCCCTTATGGGTGCCGGTTCTAGTCCCGGCTGCTCCTCTTCCAGTCCAGCTCTCTGCAGTGGTCCTGGAAGGCAGTGGAGGATGGGCCAAGTGCTTGGGCCCTGCCCCGGCATGGGAGACCAGGAGGAAGCACCTGGCTCCTGGCTTCACATCTGCGCAGTTCCGGCCTTAGTGGCCATTTGGGGGATGAACCAATGGAAGAAAGACCTTTCTCTTTGTCTCTCTCTCTCTCTCTCACTGTCTATAACTCTACCTGTCAAAAAAATAAAGAACAGGCTGGCACTGTGGCTCAATAGGCTAATCCTTCACCTGCGGCGCCAGCACACTGGGTCTAGTCCCAGTTGGGGCGCCAGATTCTGTCCTGGTTGCTCCTCTTCCAATCCAGCTCTCTCCTGTGACCCGGGAGTGCAGTGGAGGATGGCCCAAGTGCTTGGGCCCTGCACCCACATTGGAGACCAGGAGAAGCACCTGGCTCCTGGCTTTGGATCGGCGTGGTGCGCAGGCTGCAGCGCGTTGGCCGCGGTGGCCATTGGAGGGTGAACCAATGGAAAAGGAAGACCTTTCTCTCTGTCTCTCTCTCACTGTCCACTCTGCCTGTAAAAAATAAATTAAAAAAAAAAGAATTGTTTTAAATTTGGGATATTATTACTTTTGGAAATGTAACACTTTGATAATCTGCATAGTGTTATAAAATATTGGTATTTGCTAATAAAATATTTCTTAGTCTTAATTTTAACCAAAAGACCTAGAAAAATATACTTAAAAGATATGTTATAAACACTGCCAAATAATGAAAGCTTAGATAAGACTAATTTATACTTATATGAAGGTAACAGATTATACTTTTAAATTTTGTTTGTAGTCCTTGGTGTTTGAGGGTCAGCTAGAAAGTAATGCCTGGATTTTTTTTTTTTTATCTTTTATTTAATGAATATAAATTTCCAAAGTACGACTCATGGGTTACAATGGCTTTCCCCCCCATACCGTCCCTCCCACCCACAACCCTCCCCTTTCCCACTCCCTCTCCCCTTCCATTCACATCAAGATTCATTTTCGATTATCTTAATATACAGAAGATCAGCTTAGTATACCTTAAGTAAGGATTTCAACAGTTTGTTCCCACACAGAAACATAAAGTGAAAAATAATAGATGATTTTTTTTTAAATGATGATGAAATCAGATCAGACCTATTGTCATGTTTAATCCCAGTGAGAGCTAACTGGGGAACTGATAATTTCTTATTTCTTTTTATTTTTTCTTCCAGAAGATCAGTTTAGTGTACATTAAGTAAAGATTTCAATCGTTTGCACCCCCATAGAAACACAAAGTGAAATATACTGTTTGAGTACTCGTTATAGCATTAAGCCTCAGTGTACAGCACATTAAGGACAGAGATCCTACATGAGGAGTAAGTGCACAGTGACTCCTGTTGTTGACTTTACAAATTGACACTCCTGTTTATGGCATCAATAATCTCCCTATGCACCAGTCATGAGTTTCCAAGGCTATGGAAGCCCCTTGAGTTCTCCGACTCTTATCTTGTTTAGACAAGGTCATAGTCAAAGTGGAGGTTCTCTCCTCCCTTCAGAGAAAGGCACCTCCCTCTTTGAAGACCTGTTCTTTCCACTGGGATCTCACTCACAGAGATTTTATGCCATCTTTATAATAGGCTTTGTTCTTTGGTGACTTAATAAGACAACAGAACCTTATGTGTATTTGCCTTGAAGAAGAAAATTATAGTTTCTGAAAGTTTATCTTACTGTATAGCGAATTGTAACAACAAAGGCATTGTTTTTCCTTTTTATTTTTTGCAATATATATTTTAATATGTTTTATTTCTGTGAAAACAAACTGAAACATTGCTTTTCTCTTTGCAGTCTATTTCATTAGTGAAGACATAGATAACAAAATGGCATCTTCTCTAGATTTGTTTTCTTTTTGGAAATGACATATTTTAATGAAATGTCAATATTTAAATTTGTTATCTTAAACCAGATTTCTGTTTCAATGTAATGTTAACTGTTTTATAAAGTTAAAAAATTAAATAATTGACCTTTAAAAAAAAAACATGATTTAGGAAAGCATGAACGTATGTTTGGAAAAAATCATCAATTTTCTTACACAATTTTGAAGTTAAAATATAACATTCAAAAATCTGCAAAATTATAATTATAAATACTATGTAAAAGAAAAATGGATTTTGAACTTGAATAAGGTGTTCTACACTGCTAAAAGGTGAGTAATCTTGACTGTCATGAGAACCTATCCATGTGCAATTTCATGAAAAAGGAATGCAGTTACATCAAGAATGAATTTTAGTCTATTTCCAATAGTGTTAACTAATCTCAACTGACATACATTTCAAAAATGAGAATATCCATTTGTGTAGCTGCAAGTCAGTTGGTCTAAAGGTTTACCATAGCGTTTCATAACTTAGCAACAAGTATTACGTTTGCAACACATAAGTAAAACAAATAATGTGACACTGGAAAACAACACCCTTCATTTCACAAAGGCGTCAGCATATAATGCATCATATCCTCCAAGGGATACACAGATTACATGGATTTGAAAGCTGTGCTTGTTACTTCATGCCTTCTTCCCACTCAAGTGTTTACTCGGCAAATCTGTTTTTGCATACCGAATGTAGAACTATGTAAAAAATGGTAAGGCTTTGTTACACCTGTTACACCGACACCTAAGCCAGGTGTGCATTGTAAATATTTTTTTTTAAGTATTGAGAATTATTTTTATTATCCCAAACAATAGAAAGGAAATATGAATTGGTTAAAAGGCAGGAATACCTAAATAAAGCTTGGATTTTTTAAAAGATTTATAAAAGGCCTATCAGGAGACAAGTTTCATATTGAGTTGCCTTTCAGTACTCTCACAGGATGTTACCATTTTGTAAGAATGTTGTTACAGTAAATGCTAGGATACTCTAAAATTTCCAAGGATAAATAGATGAAATTTCTTTTTGCAGATGATTTAAGGAGTTTACATTCTCAGTTGTCTATCAGCTCATGTTACATTTTTCAAGTTCATTGAAGCTAAGAACTTGTCTTCTATAAGGTCTTTTGCTGAGTGGGACTAGTTTTGGAACACACTGTTGCACATAAATAATTGTGATTTTTGGTGAAGATGATTCAGGAAATTGGGTCAGAATTCATTCTAGGGTGGCAAATCTCTATATCTCGAGTCCCCTACCTTAGAGCAAGCACCTGTAATTCAGGAAGATCCCTTACAACTGAGTTCTTCACCACGGTTTTAACTGTGAAGCCCTCAGAAATCAAGGAGTGAGACTGGTGCTCCCGCAGCACCTAATGTGACAGCAGCTTGGTCCTCTTCAGCTTCTTGTCTGGGCAAGTATAACTTATAAATTGTGAAATTAATAGTTGTAGTTCTTGATGTGCATATGTTTTCTTTAATATTATCCTGATAATTGGCCTGATGTTTCCTTTTCCTTTTTGTAACTATCTAATTATTTAATTGTAATTGAGTATTGTTCATAAAATTCCTGTTTTCTGCCACTACCCTACTATTGCACCTACATTATTTCTGAGTGCTACTTCCAGTAAATAGTATATGACTTATGTTATAATAGGTATATCTTTTTTATTTTATTTTTGTTTTAGTTTACTACTATCACCTGTAGAAATCATCAGTGTCCTAATGAAAACCAATCATAACCATATTAACCCTGGTAATCTTTTTAATTATTATATCAACTCAATGAAAATCTCTGTCTTCTCTTGACAGTTTACTAGCAATTTCTCAGAACCTTCTTGACAACTTCACAGATAGTTTTTTAATATTACATAAATTATCTTATTGTTTTGAAGCTGATAATGTAGCTCTAATTATAAATATCTTCATTTAAAATTTATTGGGTATTCAACATAATTTTATTTTGTGTTCATTCATTTGTATTTTTCCTGTTTTCTATTTTGATGTAAAGGTAATTCAGAGTTTTTCACCAAATAGTCATTATAGCTACGTCTCACTTCTTATTGCACCCATCAATGAACTGAGTTTTACTTGCTGTAAACAATATAGAATTTACATTAACAAGTGCAATCCTTTTGTACTTTTAGGTTTGTTTTTGAATTTATTTCCAATAGATTGTACATCATGACTATTCTACTGTTAGCCTTTGCTACCTCCTACCTAGTGCATCTTTGTCATATTTTAATTTTGAGATCACTGAACTTAAATTTCTCTTGTACACTTTCATGCAAATATTTCTCAGAACCATCACAGTCTAATGTTATTATTTTCCTTTTAAAGTTTATATATGTCTTGTATATTCCTGATTTCTATGAAACAGTAAATTTACTTCCATTATTAAATTTTAAAGAGTTTATCTAGATGCCAGAAACTTCACTTGAAAATTTCTCTGGTTGCTGTCATGGCTTTTTATATATTTCCATGTATTCTTCTCTCAATTTCTAGCTAATTGTGATGAATTATTTTTCAGCAAGTCCACTTTTCTATATCTATGGTCACATTATTATTCCTACTAACTGAGGTCTATTTATGGCAAATGCAATATAATTTATATTTTAAATAGTGTACCTCTTTTGTATATTTTATATTTGATTTTTTTTTTAGATTTTTATTTTTATTTATTTAAAAGACAGAGTTACAGAGAGGTAGAGGCACAGATAGAGGTCTTCCATCCACTGGCTTACTCCCAAATTGGCTGCATGGACAAACTGAGCCTATCTGAGGGGAGGAGCCAGGAGCCTCCTCTAGGCCTCCCACATGAGTGCAGGGGTCCAAGGACTTCGGCCATCCTCTACTGCTTTCCTGAGTGCATTAGCAGGGAGCTGGATCAGAAATGGAGCAGCTGGGATTCAAATCAGCACGTATATGGGATGCCAGCACTACAGGCCAGGGCTTTAACCCATTGCACCACAGTGCCAGCAGCTTATCTTTGAATTTAATATTACTACCTGTGTATTTCATCATTTGTTTAAATGGTTTGCCTTTTCCTTGATTGATTTATCTTCATTAATTTTTGTGGTTTTTCCAATTTTATTACAACCCACAATGGACTCTTGTTCATCAAATAATTAATATGTAATTTTCACTATGTGGTTATTTGAATATTATTGCTCAGTGCTAATTCTCTTTTTAATATTTATTTATTTATTGGAAGGCAAGGTTAGAGAGAGAGAGGAAGATACAGAGAGAAAGATCTTTCATCCACTGGCTCACTCCCCAAATAGCTGGAAAGGCCTGGATTGGGACCGTCTACAGTCATGATTCAGGACCTTCTTCCACGTCTCTCACTTGGGGTCAGGAGCCTGAGAACTTGGACCATGTTCTCTGCTGCTTTCCCAGGCACATTATCAGGAAATTGAATGTGAAGTGGAGCAGCCAAGACACAAACCAGTGTCCATATGAAATGCTAGTACTGCAGTCCTACTACTACCAACAGTATATATCATGATTGACCTAGAAGAAGCCAACCTTAGCACTTTGAAACTTTGTTCATCTTGCTTTGCCTTTTCATGTTGGGATCATCAAAAGCAAAAACTTTTTGCTAGGTTTTCTTGGCCAATTTCTTGTCTACCTCTAATGAGAACTGTCTTTGGCTAGTACAATAATTCTATCTTTTGAGGTAATATAAGTTTTAACTTTCCTGGTGGTCAGTAAGACTGTAAATAACTCTTTGATAGTTGATATTTTACAAAGTGTGGATTTAGGCCAGCACCTCAGCTCACTAGGCTAATCCTCCGCCTTGCAGCGCCGGCACACCGGGTTCTAGTCCTGGTCGGGGCGCCGGATTCTGTCCGGGTTGACCCTCTTCCAGGCCAGCTCTCTGCTGTGGCCTGGGAGTGCAGTGGAGGATGGCCCAAGTGCTTGGGCCCTGCACCCCATGGGAGACCAGGATAAGTACCTGGCTCCTGCCATCGGATCAGCGAGGTACGCAGGCCGCAGCGCACCAGCCAAGGCGGCCATTGGAGGGTGAACAACGGCAAAGGAAGAGCTTTCTCTCTGTCTCTCTCTTTATCACTGTCCACTCTGCCTGTCAAAAAAAAAGTGTAGATTTAGAGGCTGAAATCTTCCATGTGTAATTTTAATAGTAAATGGCGGCCGGCGCCACGGCTCACTAGGCTAATCCTCCGCCTTGCGGCGCCAGCACACCAGGTTCTAGTCCCAGTCAGGGCACCGGATTCTGTCCCAGTTGCC